AGAAGATGGGAGACCCGGCTGAGGCTCTTGCTCTTATGTGGGGAGAGGCCGCATCCTACCCTGTGACATGGGGAAAACATGGTGCTGTGGACCAGATGAGAGTCCAAACGCCTCCACATTCGATGGGCAGGCCAACGCTTGGTTGGCAGGGGCCTCTTGTGGAATTCAGTTCTTGGCCAGAAATCCCTGCCTTAGACCTTGGAAGATAGGAAGGAGGCTCAGCAAACCTGGCGGCTGCTCTTTGGGTTTGGCAAACTCGAGATTTTTCCAGCGCCTTGTGTTCAGCGAAACCGAAAATGTGTTTGGCTAGAAACCCTTCTCTAATTTTTAAACCCCTGAGCATTTTTTACGTAAATTTGATACACATGTTTTTGTCTTATTTTTATTTAGCTCATCAAATCGAATTAGGAGCTATAATGATGAAGGGAACAATGCTGATTTCCAAGAAGATTTTGGAGCCTTTTTTTTCTTAGAACTAAGTCTCATTTTCTCCCTATTAAAATTACCAGACTGAGCTGGATTTGAAATTTAGAACCCAAATGTGAAATAAAGATCCATGCTTGGCAAAGATGAAGCAGAGCAGGGGAATGTTCTTAGGAAGTCACAGTTGGAAAGCCAGGGTAGGCGTGGGGTGGGAGGTGAGGGGATGCAGGCAGGAAAGGATGGTTTAGATAAACGCACCTGGCTTCCTGAGCTCCCCCCAAGAAGCCCACCAGCCATGTCTCTGGTGTCTGCCTTTATTACCACCACCCAAGGAAGAGGAGTCTTTACTCTGAGGTTGGGGACGAGGGGGTCCCCCTGTGCCGGTCTTTCTTCCATAGCCCTCCATGGTGGCCAACTCCAGCTTCTCCTCCTCTTCTCTCCAACCTCCCTCCCCCTTTCCTGGTTCTGGCTAAGCCCTCTCCATCTGGAAGCATTTAAAATGTACAACAATTTTAATCTCGTGCAAAGGAATCTTGGGATCTACGCTACATACCCATTACGCTAAATTATATGTGCACAATCTTATTTTGCACAACTCTGTCTGGCCGAGGTTGGCACACACTGAAGCCTATTACTGTCTTTCCCAATTACTTTTTCTACTACGCCATCATTTTTCTTTTACAACTGTAGTCTGAGGTTAGCGGTATTTCCCTGAGAAATGTGAGCCACTGAGGTCCCAGGACAAAGATCCTCTTCAGAGCCACTGTGAACCTGTATTCAGAGGGTCCCTTAGATACCGTCTAGAGAAATTTCTTTGAACTCAGCTTTTCTCCCTGACAGACCCGGATCAAATTAGACAGGCTCGGGTAGGAGTACCATCTTGTTATTTCATAACTGTACAACCCTGGGGGGAGTTATTTCACTTCTTTGCATCTCAGTTTCCTAATCTGCAAAATGGGTATAATAGGCATATGTACCTCCTAGAGTTGTGAGGAGAAACTGAGTATAAAGGACACAGTAAGTTGTCTGGCCCAGACTAAGCAGTTGATAAATGTCACTTGTTATTATAAAAACTACACTTTATTGTGCTCGCTTTGGCAGCACATATACTAAAAAAAGCTACACTTTATTGAACTCTACATCTTTTCTAAGAGTGCTTACATCTTACCAGAGGTGGCCAGTTCCCTTTTAAACACCCTGTCCAGGGCAGCCCGGGTGGCTCAGCGGTTTAGCGCCGCCTTCAGTCCAGGTTGTGATCCTGGAGACCCGAGATCGAGTCCCATGTCTGGCTTCCTGCATGGAGCCTGCTTCTCTCTCTCTGCCTCTCTCTTTCTCTGCGTCTCCATGAATAAATAAATAAAATCTTAAAAAAAACAAACAAACACCCTGTCCAATCCCTCACCAATGCTGCACTAACCAACCCAATTCCCTGTAAACCAGCATCACTCTAGAGAGGTGACGTAAGGCTTCTGATCATCCCACTGGGCTCTCTCATCTGTTCTCAGGGAATCTCCCATGCACACCCAAGGAGAGCCTTTTCTTTGGAACCATGCTAATAGAGCAATCAGAAGATCTATAATCGAATTGTATAGAAATCATTCTCCTTCAAACCAAACCACACTTATTCTCGCTTTATATAGAAAAAAATAGGTGTAATGCGGAAGGGACGAGAAGGAAGAAGGAACACTTTAAGAAGCAAAGTGTTTAATTAGTGCTGAGCCCCCCCTCCCAACCCCCCTAAGGACATGAGTCACACTTCATCTGTTCCTTTTGCAAGTAGAAAGACTATGGCACCATTTAATGTCTGATAAATGCCTCTCTCTCAAGGGGGAAAATACAGAGTCCTTGGGTCTAGGACTTACTGCTTTCCTCTGGCCAAGAGTAGTTTCAGCACTAATTCGTGGATTCCCTGAATAGAGGGGATCAGGGATCCACAAGCTTCTGGGGCACCTGGGACACCGTATGTAGTCCTGGCCCCCATCATGCAGAACTGCTGTGAGGGCTCAAAGAGAGACATCCACAGCCACCTGACGAATGGTTAATTATTATTTCCACCCAGCTGATCTCATTTGAAATTCTGGGTAATATCAGAAAATGTGTGTGTCCTCCAGGCCTTATATTTACTAGAGTTTTCTGCCTCTGTGATTTCCCAACCTGTTGTGGCCACGTGTATTTTTTTTTAAATTTATTTATTTATTTATTTATTTATTTATTTATTTATTTATTTATTTATTTATTTATTTATTTTAGAGAGAGGCAGAGACACAGGCAGAGGGATTTATTATTTATTTATTGTTTGTTATTTATTTATTTATTTATTATTTATTTATTTATTTATTTATTTATTTATTTATTTATTTATTTTAGACAGAGAGAGGCAGAGACACAGGCAGAGGGAGAAGCAGGCTCCATGCCGGGAGCCCGACGCGGGACTCGATCCTGGGACTCCAGGATCACGCCCTGGGCCAAAGGCAGGTGCTAAACCGCTGAGCCACCCAGGGATCCTGGCCACGTGCATTTTAAATGCCTGCCTCAGCAATAAAGACCCTAAAGAATCGCCCACCCTGCTCACCGGCCTGCCGATGGGGTGGGCCTAGGAGGCTGTGTGGGCCCCTCGATGGCTCTGGAGTGGACAAGCTGAAGGGGCAGTTTATGGGCTGGGAAGTCACTTGTGGCCTAGTATAAAGAGCGAGCTGGAGGAATGAGCTTCCTCTCCGGTAACTTGGAATCGGGGGAGTGAGACTGGGCTGATGGGTAGCAGACACGTAGGGAACATGTCTGGGCACAACAACTTCATGAACGGAACAGACCCCCACTGCTGAGGCTCTCTGGGGGGCCTTGATGCCACAGCACCTGGCTGTTCAGGGGGCCTCCTGCACACACCACGAATACCTCTTCTAAGATGATTACGGCAAACACCTCCTCCTTTGAGTTAGCCTGAATGGGCCAGGGTTCCCTCCAACAAAAAGAGCCTTTGATAAAACAGCATCTATCCTTGGGAAGGGCCTGCCCATGGAGTTCTATTTAAACGCTGTGGGCATTTCCAGGGCAAGACATTGCTTTAAAAGGTAATTACACAGAATGCAAACACCATGGGTTCCTGACTCACCGTCCCTGGCTCCCCTCTGGCGTCAAACTAGGGAAAGGTCAAGCTCTCTCCCTCAACCCCTGTGGCACGCAGCCAGCGGAGGTCATGTGACACAGTTCTGGCCAGTGAGACGCAAGTGAGTAGCTGCTGGGCTGGACAGGCTGCCCGCCTCTTCCTTCCCACCTCTGCTGGAAATGCGATGCCTAGCGCACCTGCCACCACCTTGCAGCCACGAAGGAAAAGTCAGCGACGCAGAGGCCCAGCCCTGGCACACTGGGGGGATCGCCAACACTAGCTGCCACCCACGCCCAGCCTCCTCGTTAACATCAAAGAAAATATACCCATAACCCACCATGACTTAGATTCCTCTACGACTTAGAAGCAAAACGTTTTCTAAAGATACGCCCTGGGGCAGCCCCGGTGGCCCAGCGGTTTAGCACAGCCTGCAGCCCAGGGTGTGATCCTGGAGACCCAGGATCGAGTCCCATGTCAGGCTCCCTGCATGGAGCCTGCTTCTCCCTCTGCCTGTGTCTCTGCCCACCCCCTCCCCGTGTCTCTCATGAATAAATAAAATATTCTAAAAAAATAAATAAATAAAAAATAAAGATACGCCCTGAAGTAGAACTGGACATTGTTTCCCGTGTCATCAGAAAAGTGTGTTGTTGGTTTTTTTTTTTTTCTGACAATCAGTTGTAGGTGAGGAAAAACATTTTTTTCAACCAAAAATCAGGATTTGTCTTTCTAGTTAACTTCTCTCAATACCAGCTGAAGGCTATGAGTTATACAGGCGATTAGGGTGCGAGAGGGGATAAGGCATCTACACCAACAACCGCATGATGAGACAGAAAGTGGGATGGATTTTACAGACCTGAGGATCTGTGGAGAGACAGAGGCTACTTCTGGTGGGGAAGGGAAGTCTCCATAGGAGAAGCGTGTGAGATTAACCCTAGAGGGGAAAAGACTGACAATCTGGATGTTTGGGGCCGGGGAGGAGAGGCATTGTGGTCAGGAGCTATGGGAAACTCAAGGTCAGGCACAGGAAGGCCACAGCAAGTTCTTCCTGGCCTGCTTGGGGGGAACAGTGGCCAAACTTTTGGTCTAGAAAGTCTGACCAAATTCTAACAAGCCTTAAATGCCAACTGAAGGAGTCTGGGCGTTGTTCTCATAGCCACAGGCTGTGGTTTCTGAGCCAAGAGGAGTCAGTACCTGTTTGGGAACACCTACCCGATGACACAATGTAGGATGGATGTGGGACGGACGGGGCGGCGGGGGGACACGCCAGGGGCCTCTGCATCTATCTGGGGGAGGGAGTGGGGACAGTAGGAACCAGGAGAGTCAAAGTGAGAATGAACACAGTGGGAGAAAGAAACCCCATAGACGTACATGTGACCCAAGTTGGCTACTGCCAGGTTATGGGGCGCGAGTCACGGGAGGAACAATGCAAAAATATATCATTGCACAAAACAGAAACAAAAACCTCACGTGGTACCTCTGGCGCTGAAGACAGGAATGGTTTTATGTAGATGTTGGAGTCGTGCACCTTCAGATCATGGTCCCCAAGTCCCCTGGTCACTCCAATAGTTGCCATCACCCGGGCCTAGGAGCATAAGCAGAGGGCCATCAGAAACACTCACACATACAGAGGAAGCCTTCCCGTCACAACGTGGCTGCCACAGGCTAAGAGGAAGCATTTATTTTCTAATTCCTTCTGTGCCTCTCCATGCCCCTTGCTACTAACTCACATGGGCAGCCGCTTCCAAGGAAGGACTCACTGAGATCACTTATGTACTTAAGGGAGCGGGTTTTCTACCAGTTACCCTAAGTTCAACGGCTTGCTGCTGTCTCTTCTCCGCTTTCTTTTGTAGAGACTGGAAGGAAGGGTAACCAGGAAACCAAATCCAACACATGTATCGTGTCTACAGCTACTGCAATCGGTTCAAATCAAATCCAACACACCCATCACCCATCCGACTGTCCGTCTGTGATCCACCCACCCACCCCACATCAGCTCGTCCCTGAGAGGCTCTAGTAAAATATGTAAAAAAGGGAGGGGCAGCTCCCACCCTCCCAGAGCTCACGGAGTATATACTTCATGGCCACAGAAAAGATACCCTTTGCAGCTCTGCAGCCCGGCCTGCTAACATCCCCACAACTTCCCTCTGGGGGGAAAGGAACAAAATGTCACTTTGTTATAACTACACAGAGACCTCACCGCCTGTGCTTTCTCTAAACAATTTAGTTTTCCTGATGCTTTAACGAAATCAAGGAAATTGTACTATTATACTGATGCCTAACCAGTCAGCCTAACTATCTCCTAAATATCCACTGCGATCTGACTCACCCAAACATTCCCTGAGCACCTACTGTGCGCAGAAACATGCTGTGGGGGGGGCAAACGCCCCAGGACTTGTCCCTGATATAAAGGAACTTGTGAGGGGAGATAAGAGGTGCGAGTCTCACCGATGATATGTAACACGTGGCCAAGTGCTGAAAGGCACAACAGCCATGGGCTACAGGAGATCAGAGGAGGTAAAAACTCTGCTGAGAAAGTTTCCTGGAGGTGGTGCCACCATACGTTTATGCAAAAGGATGGGTGGCACTGAGACAGGTAAGCTCAGAGGGATGGCATGGAAGTCCTTCTGGGTGGAATGGAGCCCAATGGCCCACCCCCCGGATCGTCTGCAAGGTATCCAGGGTAGTGTCACGGTGCCAAGACCCTGGCCTGAAGCCTCACTCTATTCTTTGGGTCATAAGAGTAACTTACAAATGCTAAAAAACGTTACAACCCAAAACGTTATCCTGCTTTCCCAAAAAAGGCTATGGATTTTGGAGCTCGTTTGCATCGTTTTGGAGAAGACGGGCAGGTGTGCATTCAAGCAGAAATGAAACCATTGAAAGTTTTTTTTTTTTTTTTTTAAAGGCAAGTGTCAAAGGGGGTGAGAGGCAGGCAGGTGACGTGAAGCCTGGAGACCCCTGGTCAGGCGGGCTGCAGCTGGGGGCTGTGCTGGGGAGTGGCGGCGGCTCCTACGAGCGAGCAAGTGTTCAACTCTAGACGCGAAAATTCTGACTCCCCTGCGGCCCTTCTGCTCTCCCCACTGCAGTGGCAGCTTCTCTGGCTGGAAAAGCACAGGTGGGCGTTCTAGTCCAAAGAAATCTGATGTTTCTGCTAGTTACTGAACTTGTTTACAAAGTATGTAGGTGTTACCCACACAAATCCTGAAGAGCATTGGCAGGAATAGAATGAGAAGTTACGGCTGTGGAAGTCTTAGGAAACTTCTGGGTAGGTGTGTGCAGACAGGAGAGAGAACACCCCTGGAACGGATCGAGACAGAACCGACCGTGTGGTGGCTGTAAACATTTCTCGAGAAATCCCGGATCCCCCGACGGGGGATCTTGTGCTGCTGTACCACAGAGCAAGCCTGGAACAGCCTGGAGCCACGGTGGCTTTTAACTAGGCCCTCAGGTCCGGTGACACAAGTCGCCAGCTGCCCGTCACGGACCGTCAAGCCCTAGTCATCTGAAATGCTGGAGGAACGTGATGTGCCCGTGACACGGACATGGGCTGCACTGGGCAAGGCCTGGCGCCCTTCAGGCCTACTCCGATCGTCCTCTAAGGGCCATCAGTCCCTCTCCCTCGGGCACGGGGGAAGCACACTAGACACCGCCGAGAAGTCCGTGTAATACTTCCGCATTTACTGGGGGCCCGTGTGGGCCACGTACCGGCAGGCAGGTGCTAGGGGTACAAAGATCACAGGAGGTGGCTCTGGGCTTACTGGGACTCACTGGGTGGTCCTGAGATCTCGGCCCCACAGGGGCTAGAGCGGCAGGCCCAGGTCACCGGGCTGAGGGTGCGCGTTGCCACATCATCCCCGACACCGACGGTGGGCCCAATGTCCCTTCCTGGCGGGATGGGGAGGTTTCCAAGAACCCGGGCAAAAGTCATTTGAAAAATGATCCCTACGGGAATCGGACGCTCAGGTTTCATTTCCCCACGCGGAACGGCCCCTTGCACGGCAATCACGGCTACTGAGCCCAAATCGTGGCCTGTGTGCCCGCTCACACACGTGCATGCAGGTCACCTCGCAGCCTCAGAGCCTCGGCCACTGGCCGACGCGAATAGCAGCCTCGTGGCTTATCGTGGCCAACACGGGGACGTGATGCCCGGGCCTGTGGTCACACTCAGCTCTGGACTCCGGACGCGGCATGTCATTTGCACAAACCCCACCTGCAACCCTAGGGCTCAGCACTCGCCGCCCCCCCCCCCGCCCGCCACGGCCCCTCAGTGGAGGCAGGAGGAAGGAAGGTGATATTCATTCTTGCAGCTGTCAAGGCTGCGGGAGGGGGGCCTCGTGCCCTCGGTCCCGGGGAGGGGGGGGGCCCATGCCTACCTTCTTGCCTTCTCCGTATATGAGGGGAAACTTCAAGTCATCATCCTCGATGGTTTTGTATGCCCTGTAGGGGGATAGACAACATTTAAAAAAACAAAAAGAAAAAGGTTTGCCCTCACTTAGCACCCCACTGCCCTGACACTGGCGGCTGGGTGCTCCACGGTCCCGGACGCTCCGTCACGCAGCGCGCTGCCACCCTCTCTGTTCCCCGAGGTGCTCTTCCTTCAGAATCGCGTGGGTGTACGCAAAACAACAAGCCAGGAACCGTCAACCCTGTGCTCGCTAGCAGAGGGACAGAATAAGGCAGTCTGATCATAAGGAGCAGGAAGGGGGGCGGTGGGGTGTTGTCCTGAGCCCCAGGAAGTGCCCCGGCAGCAGTGACAAGGGTCTTGCCATTGATCCAAGGCCAAGATGGATGGGGCGTGAAAGGGCTCTGCGAGCCAGGCCTGCCCTTCGGGGGTTGTTTACCCCCAAGCAGCCTCATGCTGCGATGGCTGGAGAAGGAGCCCTTGGAGCCAGTTTGACCTCGCTGTGATATTCAAGGTTGGCAGAAAGTTCTTTGTTTCGCAACAGCTATTCAGTGGCCCTGCGACACACATGGGAGGAAAAGCCGGTTTATGCTTCGGTGGCTGATCCTGGACGTGGCTGCCCAGGTGCCACTACCCACAGCAGAGGCTGGCCCGGCTAAGCCCGGGCTAACCCTAGGGAGGAAATGAAGTCCACGTCCAGCAGTTCTGCTCATGAGAAGTTAAAAAACAAGCAGCAAAGGAACAGGGCACTTGATGGCTAAGTGTACCACCCCTGCGCAAGCAGCTCCACCTTGTCTGGTCTCAGTTTCCCCATCTGTAAAATGAGGAGAGCCACATAGGATGTAAAGCACTTGGCACGGAGCCTGGCACTTAGGAAGCGCTCACGTAGTCATGCTGATCACTAACGATCGATAGATACCCAAACCTTGGCACAGAGCTCCCCTCTCTGCAGGATGGGGCCAGCACCACCTCCAATGAGTATTAGGGGCACCAAGTAGAACCTGGGGTAGCTTCTACTAGGTGGGGTGCTCAAAACGAGGTGCTTCTCTAAAATAATGTCCACTGAGCACATGGAGAAAACTAATTTGTGTAACGGGCTTCCAATCCCAGTGATACACGGAGGCACCTTGGAAATGAACCTGCCATCAAGTTGACGGAAGCTCTTGGTATACGAAAGAACGTGACCTGGTTCAAAGACAGTTCAACCCGAAAGCTAATGCAGGGCCAGCTTTAGTTTCTGGGAAATTATTTAGGTCAACTGTTCCCTCCAGAGGGGATTGGTGAAGATTTGGCACAGGATGTGCCTGGGCCTGTGTTCGGCCCCGGGCGGCCGGGTGAACCTGCCTGGGCCTCAGGATCCTCATTTGTCAGAGAGGAGACCCGAGGCGTACCCGCGCGGCCTGGTGAACGTGCTCAGCTCAGGGGTCTGTGGCTCAGGCCCGGCACGCACCGAGAGCTTGCCCAGCTGCTGGCACCGCCCTCACGTGCGCCCCGAGGTGCTCCAGGAATCCCAGTCGCAGAAAAGAACTGTCCTGGGGCAGCCTGGGTGGCCCAGGGGTTTAGCGCCTGCCTTGGGCCCAGGGCCTGATCCTGTGGACCCGGGATCGAGTTCTACGTCGGGCTCCCAGCATGGAGCCTGCTTCTCCGCCTCTCTGTGTAACAATCAAAATCAACTGGGCAACTAGCTTAGCCCTCAAGGTGACCGACTATGGGGCTCAATGGATGGGGGGACACAGCCTGAGAACAGTGGGCAGGAGCAGGGCTTGGGGATGGCCAGACTCCAAGAAGCAGGGACAGGAGACGTGGCTGGAGGGGGACTGGGCTCTGAAGACCCCACAGGAGTCCAGGATTAAACGGGAGGCTGCAGGCAGAAGCTGCAGCATCGGTGACTGAAGTTACTCGGGGCTCGGCAGGGACGGGCCCGTCTCACAGACCCCCGGCCCCGCCAAGCCGCTCACCACAGCTCCTCTCAGAGATGCCCGCTCACCTTGGCCTGGTCACCTATGGGCACAGCGCAGGCTCTTGTACTTTAGTTGCTAGTTTTTCATCTTCGAAAACAACAAAAATAGGAAAACTAACAATGGCGACTTTGGAAAAAGGCTTATTCTGCTCCTGCCGTCGCTGGCCTTCAGTCAGGGAAGCGGCCTCCCGCGGGCGGTGCCGGCAAGCGGCAAGGTGGACGGCCCGGAGCAAATGCGAGCCCGGGCCTCGGCCCCTGGGCGTCCGGGCCCAGGCATCACAGAGAGGCCGGGGGCTTCCTGCCACGCGTGGGGTCCGGCGTCACGGAGACAGAATGAGGCCCTCAAGACTTTGAACTGGTAGCTTGACTCAAGTCCGGATAAATTCCCTCAAAGCACTATGGCATAGTGGGAGGGAAGGTGAGCAGAGTGTGGGGTGACGGGCACTGGGGGGCAGTTGGCGGGATGAGCACTGGGTGTTAAGCTATATGTTGGCAAATCGAACTCCAATAAAATTTTTTAAAAAACCACAAAAACGAGGATCCCTGGGTGGCTCAGCGGTTTAGCACCTGCCTTGGGCCCAGGGTGTGATCCGGGAGTCCCGGGATCGAGTCCCACGTCGGGCTCCCTGCATGGAGCCTGCTTTTCCCTCCTCCTGTGTCTCTGCCTCTCTCTCTATCTCTATGAATAATAAATAAATAAATCTTAAAAAAAAAAGTATGTTAAAAAAAAAATCCCACAAAGCACCACCACAGCGCTGACTTACTCACGGGCCGCACGTGGGGCGGGCTGCTGAGTCGGAAAGTGGCGCTCGGGTGGCCCACCTGACCGGAGGAGACTGAGGCTCAGAGAGGGCAGGTCACTCTCCCGGGATCACACACACCTGAGCGGCCTGAAGCAACACACCGGAGCAACGGGACGTCAGGGCTCGGCTCTGGTGCTTCTCGCTCTGGTTGAAAAATCTGAAATGAGACCATTTCAGATGGTCTGCCATGTCTGCCTGCCCGTCGGGGAGAAAAGCAGGCACCGGACGAAGAACAAGTGTCTTTGGCAAAGGACAGAAGGGAATTTTCTGGGGGGGGGGGGCAAAAGAACAAAAGGGGACGGCACGGGGAGCAGGTAGGCACCGGTGGGCGTCCTCGGGCCTGCGGGTGCAGGAGGCTGCAGAGCGCGACAGGGTCCCGCCCCAGGACAGTGGGCCTCTCACGCATGGGTTTGCAGCTTGGGGGCCTCCCGTTTTTGTTTTCTTTTTTCTTTTCTTTTTTTTTTTTTTTAAGATTTATTTATTTATTCATGAGAGACATAGAGAGAGAGAGGCAGAGGCACAGGCAGAGGGAGAAGCAGGCTCCACGCAGGGAGCCCGACGTGGGACTGGATCCTGGGACCCCAGGATCACACCCTAGGCCGAAGGCAGGTGCTAAACGGCTGAGCCACTGGGGCTGCCCTTTTTTTTTTTTTTAATATTTTGATTTATTTATTTACGGGAGACACACACAGAGAGAGAGGCAGAGACACAGGCAGAGGGAGAAGCAGGCTCCATGCAGGGAGCCCGATGTGGGACTCGATCCTGGGACCCGGGGTCACAGCTGGAGCCCCCCAGCGCCCTGCCTCCCCTGCTCCTACCCACTTGCAGGCCTGCCTGCTGTTGATCCTGCATCACAGCCCGTGTCAGGCTGTGGGCCTCACCGCCCTCCTCAGCCGCGGGGCCGCAAGGGAAGGACGGCAGTTCGATGCCCGAGCCCCGGGGGGCGGGGGGCACTGGGGAGCATGACTATAGACAATACCGAGGCCTTCCTACCAGGTCCCATGAGCTCACAAACCCTGACTGAATTGAAAAACTCCAAAAACTCAATTCCTCCCTAGTCTTCACGACACCGTGACCAGAGAGCATATTCAGAGAATTACTTGTAACAAGAAAGTGAAACCGAAAGGCTTACGAAAGATTTTTCAGAATTACTCTAATTTGGGGTCAATCCTTAATGAATATTTATGAGGCCAACTGATGGAAGGATTGGGGGGGTAAAAAAAAATCGAGGCTTAAAGAGAGCTGGATTCAAGGGCTTTCCCCAAGTAGAGACCAGTTTCATTAAGCGGAGAAGTTTCCATCAAACAGGTTTTTGGAAAGTAAGGGTTTTCCACCGCGACGTTGATTTTGCAAAGCCAAGGAGCCGAGGCTCGGCTGGTCCCCGGGGCTGCATGGCAGTGCGGGCGCCCCTCCTGGGCTGACACCCGTCACACGGGTCCCCGGCGGCTGCCCCGGGTGGACAGTGCTGGCGGTCACCGTCCTGGGTGCCTGGGGACACCAGCTGCTTCTACCGGGGACCAGCCCCGGAAATCCTGACACCCCGGCAGCTGCTAGCGTGTTCCAAGCCCCCCAACTCCCAAGGCCGAGGTGCGTCCCTTGCCCTTCCTGGAGGCTTGCTACCCTGCCCAGGGCCACCCTGCCCCCTGGCTCGACTCCCCACCCGCACGGTGCTCTCCCAACCCCCCTGATGGCCGCGGCCTGGGTTCGCAGCCGGCTTCCCCCTCTTCTCCCCAACGTTATCCTCAGTAATTTGATTTGTGTGGGGGATGCTTCTGGAATCTGGGCCTGGTAACTCCCAACCTACTTCCTGATGACCGTCCTGTGGCTCCCTAGGCCCCTGGTCACGCGGGCTTTGCTGCAAGGACTGCCTCTCCTTGGAGCTCCCCGCCCCCCCTCCCCCGGGCCCTCTGGCCACTGTCCCCATGGGTCCCGCAGCCCTAAGTTGTCCAGGCCACACAGATGCCCCAGGCAGCCTCCGCTTGGGACAGCTCTTCCCAATTGCCTCTTGCTGGCAGCCCAGACCTCCTCCCCCACTTGACCCTCTAAGGGGACAGAAACCACAGGAGTTGAATGTTCGGTCCCCTGCCTTGGCTGCCACTGCCTTCTCCATCGCATCTACCTAGGTGACAGCGGACGGTGCCGGGACCAGGGGGACGGCAGGAAAGGTGCTGGAACCTGCTCAGTTTTGTCCTTTATCTGTATTCTCAGAGCAACCAGAGTAATTATTTTAAAATGTCAGGGAGCGTCATTACCTTGCTCTAACCCCCCCATA